CCAGTGTTATAAATATTGTAAGGACTAAATTACTAAAATGGTCTAACGGTAGGGAATTTTGAAAATTAAATAAAGTTTTAAATTTGAACGTTGTTGTTAATTTTGTAATTTCTTTTTTAGAAAAGATATTATAATAACAATTTTTTAAAAAAAATATTTTTTTATAAGACAAATGATAATAGCACATTGTATAACACGTTTTTTCTCTCATTATTATCGAATGCATTACTATTTTTTTTTTATGATTTTAGTGAAAGAATGAGTATGTATAATATATTTTTTTACTATTAATTATGTTTTGATCCGGAAAATATACTAGGATTAACTTAACTATCTCTCCAAATTTAAAATATTCAAAAGTATAATTTATATTTTTATTTTAGGGTTAAGGCTTTATACTTGACTGTCATGAGTTCCAAGAATTTCAAGATTATATTTAATAAAATAATTACTTATTATTGAATATTATATTTTGGTGCGTGATTTTGAATATTAAAAATAAGATTCTGGATTAAATTATATAGGATCGGACTAATTTTAATTTTTGATTAGTCATGTACTAAATATAATGAACCAGATTAATTTTATGAACTCTTTATTCTTAACTTAATTGATTATCTATCAAGCAACGAGATGAATTTAAAATTGAGATAATTTAAGAATTAACAATTTATTATCTATGTTCATTTCTCCAAGTCAGCATATCCATGAAATATATCTAACAAGGAACAAATTAAAAAATAGGGAAATTGATAATTTGTAAAATGAAATTGATAACATTGAGAAATGTGTAATAGAGAGTATGTGGAATAAATATTCCTGAGCAGGGAGCAGTGTAGAATACTACATAACTCCAAAGTCGAAACAGACGCACGCTCGCACGTATGCTGATGAGACGGTAAAAACTTTCACTTCCAAAGGAACGGAAACAAACCAACCCACTTGCTCCGTACGCTACAAAAGAAAAACAAACTGAATATCAAACTGATATAACTGGTGTATGCTGCTCGTGAGGTGGACCTTACATTACACCTCTCATTTTTTAGTTACATTTATTTTCAATTAAAAATCAAATACATAATTACCTTACTATCCTCAAATTAATAAACATGAGAAGTGACCCACTTGAGTGGGATACTGACCCACCATGCCGCATTAAGATAAAAGCACGCACATGATCATGATGTGATCATAATATCTTATGTTATCCGCCTGTCATATTTTATGTTATGATGCCATAATAATGCAACTAACCCAATCGCATGTGTGTGGGTGTGCCGGCCTCTATGTCGCATCATGTGCTTGTCATTCATGTCATCCTATTCCTATCCATTCATTCATCACCGTCACACTACAACATCTTATGCTTCTCTATACACAGATACCTTCTCACATCAACTCCAACCATTTATCGCACAAGGTTCAAAATATTATAATTATTATAAGTTTACACATTATTAAATTAGTTTAATTTTAATATATTTTATTTAATGAATGACTTTAATAATAAATAATGCAAACTATGATATTAATCCTCATGTAATTTATATATACTTGACTTATTATAGGCCGTTTTGCAATCGGCCCAAGTGAAAATGAGGCAGGTCAAATTAATAATATACCTAATCATAGATAGATGGGATGGTTGCAGAGGTCCAAAGTAAAGAATAAAGATGTAGCTCCTAAGGATTATAGTATGTCTACTTAGTCACCAGATTCAAAATTCAACGATGTATATCACCAATCCAATTTTCAGTTATACTTTCATAAATGGTTTATCTTAAAAATATAAAAAATTGAGAGTAAACTTCACTTTTGATTTTTTTTTCTTGTAATTTTTTTTAATTGTATAATTTTGGTCTTCTAATCCTAAAAAAAAATAATCAATTTTGTTCTAAACATCATATCTATATACGTTGACACTTAACCCTTTACAAAAATTGGTCACATAGAAATGGAATGCAAATTATTACCCTAAAGATGTGCTTTATGAGAATGCAAATTTGACAAATAAATTAAAATTTTAAATTTTAAAAATTGGAAGAGCACAATTATATAAATAAAAATATGAAGACCAAACTGTAGGTTAAAAAATGTAATTTAGTCAAATATATATTAGGTTCATCAGTTTAAATATTATATATTTTTTCTTCAAGTATTCTCTAGTTTTTTAGGAGTACGTGGGGTTAATTTTTTTTAAAAGATATTTATGCTATGTTTAGTTTAATTAAGTAAGAAAGAGAGCAACGGGAGAGATTTCTCCCTTTTTTTTAAGTACTCTAACTCAGTCTTGCACTATTCTTCACACAATATACTATTTTAAATAACAAAACAAATTACATAATACGTATTACTATCTCACTTTTTTTTTATAATAATCAAATTGTAAGTTTGATCGATTAATTAGAGCGTGTTAGATGCAGTTTAGAAAAAATAAAATTGAGTTTTTTTAATTAAAAATAAAGAATACTTTCTAGTAATTTAAAAAAAAAATATTTTAAGCTTGTATTTAAATATATTTTTAATGTTTTTATACGAATCAATATAATATATACATTAATGTCTTTAACTATTTGAGAGTCTAACTTTTTTTTTTTAACAACAAAGATAAGATATATTAATAAGATACAAGGGGTACCTTAAACCCAGTTACATATGATAGAGAAAATTAAGATTAAATGTCTCAAGATGAAATATAATTTACTCTTGTACAAAAGCATGTTACAAGTTCACCTATATTGAGATCAAATATATAGTCTAACTTTACCTTATATGGAAAGAACTTTGAAAATATGTCTTGCTAATGTTAAAGATTTTTGAAAAATATATAAATTTAATACAAATGTAATATTATGCTAATTAAATTAACTAATTTTTTAAAAATATAAGAATAAGATAAATTCTTTATGGATTTTTGAGTTGGAGAGGTGATAGAATTCAATTTTAATACAAGCAAATTTTTTTAACATATACAATTTAGCTTAAAAACTATAGACATAGTTGTGAACATGAAAACAAAGGCAATGGAAAGTTATTTATATCAACATATATTTACTCTGTTAGCCATAAAAAAAATAGCTTTTTCCTTTTTTACTTATTTTATTCTTTCATAAAGCAAAACAACCTAAAACATTTAGGTCTTTTTTGTTTACAGTTTGCAAAAGCAAATTTATGTTTTTGGAATTTTTTTTGTCTTCTAATCATGTTTAAAAGTGTTTGGTTTTTTAGCATATTTTTGTTTTCTAAAAATTTATCTCCCGAACACATAAGCAGTACATAAAATAAAAAATTACACTATTACCTGAGGTTTTATGAAATCTCACAAACATACTTTACATTTTCTACATAATAACCTCCTTTAATTGTTTAAAAATCATTTCACTAACACCCTATATATATTTATTAGTTTTCCTTAATTATTTGAAACAAATTACTAATGTCACTCTCTCCTGAAAGAAAGTTACCACAAACATTAAAAAATAGACGTTAATGTCAGTGCAATTTCATAAAATCTCATCAGAGTGACACTAATTTACTCTATAATGAAGTGTAATAATTACTATTAAAGATTAGGAGATTTTTTTACTTTTCTTTACGGAATACAAGGTTAATGATCATCATTGTTTATTATTTTTTTCTTCTTTATATTTTTTCTCAAAACTATAAAATAATTCTTTAATTTTAACATTTTATATAAAAAAATCTTTTTTTTAATCTTATCTAATTATAGTTTCAAAATAGTCACTCTCATGCTACATTAAGCTTTTGCTTATTTTCACTTTGTGTATAATTATTTGTCTAGTTAATTGCTTGCAAACTAAATTAAATGGTTGAGAATTAAGCTCTTGGTTTCTTTCATTTGAATTTTAGTCCTTGTAATGATAAGTTTTGAGTATGAGTTTCTACACTTATAATTTTGTCCTTATGATTAATGTACTGGTTTTTATATTTTCATTTATTTAGGTTATAGTCCTTATAGTTTTTCCTAATTTACTAAGGTATTTAGCTCTTTTAACAAAAGATTATTGATCTTCATATTCTTTACTTGTTAATTATTGGGCCCTGAGGATTAAAAACATCTTAACAATATAAAACCATGGATATCCATGTCTAAAAAACTAATATTGGAAACCTAAATGAATAGATCGAAATTGTGAAAAATAATCAGAAATCTTATTAATTAATTATATTAACCTAGAGGCAGCAATTTGACATTAGAAGGGAAATGTAAATATATTGAAGAAAAGTAGGATAAAAGAAATGGTGAATTAGTGGTGGACAGAGTTTAGAGATATTAATTTTATGATACATCTCAAGTAGCAAAAGTGCAGATAAAAGTGGGCGCATTTTTAAATTTGAGCCAACATTTGGCATTAAAAACTCAACCACTTTGTAGTGTAGTACATCTTGATTTGTGTAAGTAGCTAGTTGTAGATGCGTAGCGCATAGCTGGAGTAGCTCCAGGATATATACTCATACAAGTGTAAAAATAGAAAGCCCCTCTATATGGAAACAATCTTTAGCTACCTCTTCTTCTTTTTTATCCCTATTATGTACTCAAGAGTTTAGAAATAAAATAAAATAATAATACACAAATTATTCACTCCACTGCATTACGTTAATACGTATACAAAGATTGGGGACCATGAAGAACCCATACTTTAAATCTCCAGAAAAAAGAAAAAAAAGAAAGAAAGAAAAGAGATCCTAGCCAGTAGCCGGGTCACATGGTGGCATGTGAGTGAGGGGTTTGTTGGTTAAAATCTGATTTGGGTGTTGATTACAAAATTTCTTTTATTGATTTGTCTTTTTTGGAAAGATTATTGTTCTTTACCGATCTGACGTGTGTTGTATGTGACCCACTGCGCACTCACCGGGAAAGTAAGGCATTTTGTGGGTAAATTGCACCTTTGTAAGTGAAGTGAACCCTACTCTCCCCTCCCTCCTCTCTATAAAGCTGGTAGATTCATATTATAAATGGTAGAGTGGTCCACGACAAACTTTGTATCGTATGGGCATGCTTATTACTTATTTCTCACCCCTTAGGCCCTTACCTTAGCTTTACTTTCTTATATCTTCACTCTCCAACCCCCCCTTTCGCCTACAATCTCAGATCTCACCTCAAGTCCTGGTCATGCTTTTCCACAGCTTTCTTGAACTTCTTATGCCTCCACCTCCCGGATTCTAAGCCCTAGAAGCTCAAGAAAGCTGTGGGAGAATATGGCAATTCAGGCTTCTTTTAATTCCCTTCAGAGTACTCCTCCATTCACGGTAACTCTCATCTCATAATTCTCTTCTTATGTCATCTCTCTCTCTCCAACTATTTTCTTTTTTAGCCTTGCCCTTGCTATATATCAGATTCACTTTCACTTTATGCTCTTGCTCTTGCATAATTCTCTAATTTCATCTGCTAAAATTCTTTTCTCACTGTTTAATTTCCTTTACCACTCCTGTTTTCTGTGAGAAAACGGCTAGTTTTTTTTTTTTTTTTTCTCTTGGGTCTTGAATGAGAAATCACAATGTGGGTTAGTGAAAAACTCGCAATATATATATATATATATA